TTTATTTTTTTGTGTTTCTTTATTTTCAGTGAATATTTCTAAAATTTTAAGTAATTTTTTTATTTTTTAAATGCACCTTACTTAGATATATTTAAAAACTAATTATATTTGTAAACAAATATTTTAAAAAATTAATAAATATATTACCCAAAAGGCAATCCAAGAGAGGGTGAATTGGATTTCTATAAATAAAAATTAATAATACCCCAATAAAAATAACTAGTACGACAAATGATTAACTGAGGATAAATTGATGAATAGCAATTAATGATTAATCACAATGAACAACTTTAACAATGTAAGCAGCTAGTAACAGTAAATAGTTATATCAGTTAAGTAAAGAGATTATGGAAAAAGAAACAAACAAATTTATAGTTATTCAGTTTCAACCAAGCCTACATCCACTCCTCAAGTTTCACTTGAGATTTTCACTATCTTCTAGCTTTACAAGAGTACTAGCAATCTCTTTACAAAATGGAGCAAACCTCCACAGATTTTACATAGACTTTCCAAGTCCTAAACCCTGCACTTTTTAAGTAATTCTCAATCACTCTCAAGGAATCAAGAACACTGAATATACCACACTCTTACAAGATTTAATGAAGGCACTTTTGTTTTCAAAGAAAGCTACAAGGATAATTTCTCAAAGATAGATATAAAATGTTAAAGCTCTGTATGTGTATTAGTAAACCTCATACAAGTAAATGGGCTCAAAGCTATAAGACTCGATGTATAATTTCTGAGAGAAAAATGAAAACCAGATAAAGAACTTCTCAAATGATCAGAGAGAATGAGATTGATGAAAGATCAAAAATATTTTCTTACTTGTGTTGTTGCTATCTTTCTTCAGTAGGAGCACTTCTATTTATTAAAGAGAAATTCATCGACCATTGTCTATTGCTTGTGTTGAGAAAATTGAGTGAGATTTTGGTTAAATCTACTCTACTCTACTCAAACTTGCGTTTCCCATACATGATTAGATGTTGAAAGATGGGTCTGATTAATGACAAGAACATTTGAAAAAAAGCCGTTACAATACAGAGTGGTCGTCCACCCAGATGTTCCAGATGAAGTTTTGTTCTTGGTGGTCGTCCGCCCGGATGTCCGGTCAAGTCCCGGTCATCAAGGATGACTGTCACGGTTGCCGAGTATACTGCTGGTTTGACAACCGGAGCGAAGCAGAGCTGAAATTACCCACCGGTCATCCGCCCAATGTCCTCTCGAATGTCCACCCGGATGTCCCTGCAGAGAAGCAAAAGTTTGCTGAAAATTGGCCTGACCAGTTAATCGCCTAGTCGTCCGATCGGTCAACCGACCAATCGACCGCCCCCTCAGTTGGCTGCTCTTCTTTTGCTGCAGCTTTGAGCTGCTGCTGTTACGTTGCTGCTTTGGGCTGTTTTGCTGTCATTTTTGGGTTGATTTGTTGTTATTTTTGGGTTGATTTATCAAGCTTCATTTTGAACTCAAAAAAACAAAAAAACAAAATTAGAGCATCAAATAATCAATTAATCTAAAGATGATTTAAGGAACTTATATCAGGCAAGGTTGAATTTCATTTTGATCTTCAAAAATAACATTATTGATAGGATAGATTAATATGAATAATTTGAGATATGCCAATCAAATTAATTCTTTCAAATAATGAAAAACATAATCAAAACAAAAACAAATTATCAAAATCAAATATGTCTAACAAGATACATAAGAATGCGAAAAGTGTACTGATTTTTTTTTTATTTATATTTTTGGTAATTAGTGAATTTTTTAAAGATTTTTTTTACAAATATTATACTTTTTAAGTAAATTTATGTTAGGTGTATCTAAAAATTTTTAAAAATTGCTTAGAATATTAAAAAAAATATAGTGAAAACAAAAAATATATATATACGAAAAATAAAAAATTTCAATTTTCTAAAAAGTGAATCCTGAAAATTCAAACCAAACAAACTAAATTTGTTGTTAGAGTATTAAATAATTTCTCTATAAGTGTTTGTCAATTTTAATACTTCTTTTAAAGTCTTAAGATTGATATTTAAACTCATTAAATTGGATCAGAATTATTTTTTAAAGTTTTTCTTTGATGGATTGGATTTGGAAATGTTTCTTCCTGCTCGCCCTAGGGTGATTATTAATATATATTATGTACATGTAAAATTTCACTATAAATACTTCTTATCTTATGTATTCTTAACTTATATTGTACTTTTAAGTTATACAAATTTCTTTTTCAGTAATGATTAATTTTTTTTCTTTAGTTGCGATCTTATTTTTATTATGACTCATAAGATCTTTGGTTATATCTCATGTATTATTTGGTTATGACTTTTTTATTTTTTATAGTTATGACTTTAAAGTATGAAGTTAAGTCATTTTTTTTTAGTTATAAGGTGCATACGATACATACTCTTTAAATTTTTCTCGTATGTACATATGTACATATTAATATGTGTATATATATAATTTACTAAATTTTACTTTTTTTAAATAAAAAGATGAGTAATGCTACGTAGCTCGAAACCAGTCCCCCCTGAATCCCCCTAAAGGCAAAAATGACGTTGTTTTTGCCTCTTTTTTTTGGGTTGAATTAGAAACAAAGAAGACAAAGAAGGAAGGAAGGAAGCAAGAAGAAGAAGAGGAAGGAGAGAAGGAAGGAGAAGCACTGGACTGGAGGGGCCATCAACCAGGGGCGAAGGCGCGGCGGAGAGCTGCTGCGACGAGCTGCGATCGGCCGACGCTAGGCCGAGCTGTGACAGAAAGCTGCGATCGGCCGAGCTGCTGCGACGGCGGAGCTTCTCTCCCTCTCTCTCTCTCTCTGTTTCCCTCTCTCATCTCCTCTCTCTCTCTTGTCTTCCCCCTCTTTTCCCTCTACTTCCCTCTGTTTCCATTTTCGGGAGTTTCGGGGGGGAGGGAATTCGAGCTCCCAAGCTTTATCCTAAAAAGATATACTTAAAATGAAAAATGTATTTATTTAAGTTAATATTTAAGATGTAATGACTAAATATTAAGGTGTAATTTTAATTAGCTCGATTTTGATTTTAAATTTTTAACTTTGTCTCAATTTGGTCAAATGTATTACAACTCTTAATATTTTTTAATAAAAAATATGTACATAAGTGTCATGTGTCTCAAAATTATGAATTTATCTAACTCAGTAAGTGAACCTCAACTAATTTAGTGATAATTTTTCTTAAAAAACACTGATGATATTATTAATTTGATCAAATTGACGTAAAATTTAAAATTAAGGATCAAAATTAAATCAATTAAAAATGTAAAAATCAAAATAAAACGAAAGATAAAATATAAGGACATCAGCGTAATTTACTCACAAAATTATCATTTTTCAGTTTTATAATATTTATAATTGTTTATATGAGTTTGTTGGGCAAGTTCGAGATTGTACTAGCAAGATTTTAAGGCTAGCTTGGGAGGGATCTTGGATTTGTTTGATTTGAATCTCATGATATAATTTTTACTTTTTTTAAAAAAAAATTTGTTTGGTTTAAATTTTTAAATTTTTTTTTTTCAAAATCACTTTCTTTTTTGTATATATCAATCAGTCACTTTTTCTCTCTTTTCTTCCCTTCTTAATCATTTTTTTTCTCTTACACACATCTACTCAAATTACAATAAAATATCAAATCATTCCAAACTCTCAAACTATTTTCAAAATATATAACTAAACAAACCAAAAAAAAATTTAAACTCTCTCTCCAAAAAAAAAAAATTTAAAAATTTAAAAATTTATCTCAAAACAAAAACCAAACACACCCTTTAGTTTCAAAAACTGAAAAAAATATTTGGTGTTATTGGACGTTACGTGGCGTACTACTTACCAATAACAATATATCATGTTTCTATTATTTTTAATCACATAATATAAAATTATAAGTCTCATTTTTTTTATTAATTAAAATACTTTTGTGGTATCACGTGACAATACCTTAAAATCAACCAATAATTTATCTCCAAGTCGGGCCGGGTCAGATTTGGATTAAGAGATTTTTCTTTTTTTAAAAAATAAAAAAATAAAAAAAAATTCCTCCACTACTGTGGTAGCTGGCCTCTTTGCTCTAAAAATTAGTACTTTTCTGGTTGTTCATACTCATATCACTGCTGTGGTAGCTGGCCTCTTTGTTATAAAAATTACTTTTCTGACGAGGCATGGAGCTAGCTACTGTCAAAGCTTTGTTGTTGCTTTCTTTCTTTATTTCTAGTTTCCAATAATGCTACAAACTATTAAATTTTTATCATTAACATCATTATTAATGATATAATAAGTAAAAAAATAAAAAATAAAAAATAAAAAAAAAACTAAGACCAAGTTTGGCAAGTCCAGAATAAGTCAAAAAGCTAAAAAGTTACTCAAAAAGTTAAAAAGTTAACACTATTTACCAAAAGTCAACAATTACGGCTACACAACTCCCAATTCTAATTTTCTCTTACAAACCAATTTTTACAATTTTTTATTACACATTTTTTCATAAAAAGTCAAAAAAGTTAACTTAAACATCTATATTTTCTTCCTCAATTTTTTAGTTCAAAAAAACAAAAAATATACTTATTTATGATACCCCAAATAATTCCTAAGACACAAAATATATGTGACAATGGATGAAACCTACTGTTACCTTCCTAATACAACCACTAATTAATAGTCTATATCATTTTTCTTCGGGTTCCTGGTTGAATTAGTGGAAAGAAGGAGAAGACTTCAGCGACTATGGCAGAAATTATTTTAGTGCTGTCAAACATTTTTCCACACAAAATGCAATGATCCAGACACCCCATCTCCACCTTCTGATTGGGCCCCATCAACCATCATCCCCTCTTTTTTGGATTATATTACATAGATATATAATGCATTTTCTAAGAAATTCATTACATACACACCCAAAAACAAAACAACAGAGAAAGAATGGCACAAATAAAAGCATCATATGGTGGACCCAAACATGATCATCACGTGGACTTGAAAGGGATGGCACGACTTGGTGGTACAAAGCTGCGAGTGCTGCACCGATGAATGGGCCCACCCAGAAAATCCACTGCCAATCACAACCAAACAAAAATTAGCAAAACATTAATCAACGTCTCTCAATGCTTTATTATTTTTACATGTGTGGACCCTGTTTATTTTGAGAGATAAAATAAAAAAAATTGATAGTGAGGGAATTGATAATGAGGGAATTAATATTAAACATTAATATTTAAAAAAAATTGTCAATATATAAAAAATAAAAATAATAAAAAAATTTCTAATCTTCTCACTATTTTTCTAATACCATCTCTACCTCTCCTTACCAATCCTCCTTCCTCCTCCTTACTAGTCCCAAGGGATTACTAGTCCCTCCTTATCTCTCAAAACAAACACCTCATTCTTAATCCCCTCTTCACTATCAAACCTAATCCTCTCCCTATAACTCTAAACAAACGAGACCTAAATGAATGATTTACTTACGTGGTCATCCCAAGCGCGGTCCTTGTTGAAGACGATTGCAGCACCAAGACTCCTTGCTGGGTTGATACCGGTGCCGGTTATGGGGATAGTGGCTAAGTAATTAATTAGTCAATTTTAATTTATAATTAATTAATTAGTGTAATTAATTAGTTAGTTTCATAGAATAGTTATAATTAATTAATTAGTTTTGTAATAATTAGCTTAGTTAGTTAGTTTATTTGGTTTGTAATAATTAAATTAATTCGTAGTAATTAGCTTAGTTAGTTAGTTTATTCGGACCCTCCTACACGAGGGTACAATTGTAATGATGTGTATGTTTTCCAACTCCACGTTTTTCTCCATTTTATTTACTTGCTTATGATGCTTAGTTTAGGGCATCATGTTTTGTTTAGTATCTCCCATGCCTTGCATCCATTGTCTTGCATGCATTAAGCTTGGCGTATCATTCCAACTTGCATTGTTAGTTAATACTTCTTTAAATAAGTGCTTAGACCGCAGTAATTGCATATTGTGTGCGTTACATTAGCCATATTGCATAGTTAGGATCATACATTTTTTCTAACTCTTTTATCTTTTTGGCTTGGAATACTATGTGAGCTTTTATTTTGCTTTAGCATGATTGCATGAGTGTGAATGTTGTCATGTCAAAGCATGTCTACTATGAGGCTAAATGCTTAAATGATAAACTGTTTGAATGCCTGTGGATGAAGGCTAGTTGCTTGAATTGGAATAATTTGAGTATTGTTCATATACGATCACTTTTTCAAGTGGTACATATTCAAAACTTTTTTCAAACAAAACATGAAATCAAATATTCTAATTTTCGCAAATTAGTCTATACTGGTGCGCATCACATAGTAAGGTTAACCTAATAATTGGAACAAGAGCATATAATGTAAATAAGAATCACATCATGATTAGTAGAGGCCGATCTTTGATCGGGCGAGCAGGGGTGCTCAATTCATGACCTTCCCCTCTCGTACCTAAGCTCCCGAGCCGAAACAATCTTGGTGATGATAGACACATGGATTTTCTAAATTTCTCAAAAATATTTATGTGGCAACTCTGTATCTGGCAAAGCAGTTTATTTTCAGCAATTTGATTCAAAATCGACTTTCCAAAAGATTTGTCCGATTTGGACTCTTTGATGTTTATCTGTTTCACATTGTACTTGTGAGATCAGATTCAGAACCGCGGGAGTCCGATACTGTAGGGCTGTTCGTCTTTCGAAAGGAGCGCGAAAAGTCGAGCTACGCCATGACATCATCAACTCTTTTACCAAAGCTGGCAAGCATAGTCACCAAGTGGTGATCTACATTCTTGGCTCTCAGGAAATAACGACCTTATCGACCGGTTGACTTTGCCATAATGTAATAGTGCCGAATAGCTGGGATTCCTAGGTTAAGTCTTAACCACTGGTTCAATTCTACTATATACATAATTATTCAGAAAAAGTTCACGTTAGGCTCGGAAGGGATTAACCCCCAATAACGTAGAACGGTCCTAAGAAGAGAATGGAGGGGAAATGGACCCCACCCTCAGCGATTAACAGAAGAGAGAAGATAATGGTGTTCGTATCAGCCCTCTCCATATCAACTACGGTGCCTGCAACAAGTGATAGTTGGACGTCGTCTAGGATTGAAAAATGACAATGTTGTGACTCGCTCCTCAAAGAGACTTTGCTTTCAAATGTTTTGCCATTAATGACGGAATAAAAACAAAATGTGTACTAAATAAGACATAAGGACTGGAATGAGCGCAGAGGAAGAGAAGAAGGAACTTACAGGTTAAAGAAGAAAATGAACAGTGGGAAGCGGTATCAAAATTGCAGAAGTCTTGAAGAAGAAAGGTTGATGTGAAGAATACCAAAGAAATGAGAGAAGAGCCTTTCGATTCAAAGCATACGGAGTGATAGTATTCAAATCACATTAAATGAATGTCAGATACGATGGGGCGGGAAGTTGTAATGATTTCACATCGCGTCGGAAGTTGTAATGATTTCACATCGCATCGGAAGTTATAATGTTGAATTATAATGTGTTGAGAATTGGAAAAGATCACAATTTTGAAACTTACTTATCTAATTTCGGGGATGAAATTCTTTAAGGGGAGCGATCCCAGTTTTTCCTTCATTGTTTATTGTATTCCGGACTCGGTTCCGTGGATGATTGTAGTTGTCCGTATCGTATTTTCGTCCTTTAATTCTTTATATTTGAGTTTTAGGATGTGCTGGGCAGGTTTGAAATAGGTTAGTTGTGTTTAGAAACAAATAGCTTCTGCCCAGATTTTGGCCTTTACGCTCAAGCGTGGCTTTTCACGCTCGAGCGGGCCCTTTTGCATTTGTTCCTCCGCTCGAGCGGGCAGTTTGACACTCAAGCGGGATTATTCAGCCTCCAGTATTTTTTCCTGCAGGACATCGGACGCTTAAGCATCCACTTTCACGCTCGAGCGAGGGCCTTCGTCTGCAGAACTTCTAGAAGTGTGCATTCCACGCTCAAGCAGCGCTTTTCACGCTCGAGCGGAAGTCTGTGTCTGACGCTCGAGCGAGGCGTTCCACGCTCGAGCGGACTGTGATGTATATCAGTCCAAGAAGAAGCTTTTTAGATCACTTTTTTGACTTTATCTCTCTCTCTAGCATTTCTAAACCCTATTTTGAGAGCTTCTCTCTCTACATACACCTTCTCTCTAGAAAAACACTTGGTTCTTGGGTGTCTCGACCCTAGTCTCTTTGAAGAAAAGGTAGAGCTTGGTGTGGGCTTCGCTTTGATCCGAAAAACATTGGATTTAGAGCACTTTCGAGTTTGTTCATCATCTCCTTTGAGTCTCTTCACTTGAGGTAGGGATAACTACTCATATTTATGGCCTTTGACATAAACACGTAATCATTTTGATTTAATGTTGAAGTTGGAGATTTTGGGGTGTTAGGGTTTCAAAACTTGAAAAGTATAAAGAGGGGTTTTGTTCCTTTTGAACTATACATGTGTATATGGGTCTTAAAATGAGGTTATTGATGTTTATTGATGATATTTTGACTTTTGGGTCAATGTTGAGAAAAATTGGGAAAATGCTTTAGTTGGGTTTAATCAGGTCATTGGTGTAATTAATGAAATTAATTATGAGAATGTGAAATTGGTTTGGAAATAATAAAATTGGAAAATTATGAGATGGAATGGTGTAGTCGGATTGATTAATCACTCGCCTATGAAAATGTTGATAATTTATCTGTTTGATAATTTATTATCTGTTTAGAAATAATTGTTTTGGGCTATCGGTGGAGGATAGTCTTGATTGTTGTAGACACTACATGTTGTTTAGGTAAATTAAAACTAATCAGTTGAGTATGTCATTGAATATGACGGATGGAACAACACATTGAATATGTGCTTTGCTTGATCATTGTATATGATAAGTGTTTAAATACATTGTATATGTATATTGTTTGGGAAGAGATAGAGGATGTACTCCATGGTTTGGGAGGAGATATGGAATGTACTCCTAAACCGGTTTTGGAGGAGATAGGGGATGGATTCCATTGATAACTAAGTTGGCCGGAGTGTCCAGGGTGAAAGTCCCAAAATTTTGATTATGTTTGCATAACGTAGATGAATTGAAGTGTTGAAGTATTATTAATATGAGTTGTAGCCTCATTTAGAATTGATGTATGGAAATGTTAATGATATGAGTTGTAGGCTCATTTTAATTGATCATGATCGAAGTATTGTTAACATGAGTTGTAGCCTCATTATAAACTGTCTGGATGAATAGAGAACCATAGCTATGAATTGGCTTGGATAATGAAATGAAAAGAAAGATTGATATACTTATAAATATCTGTGAATATGGATTGGTTATGAAAAAGATGTACGTCTGTTTATATGAGTTAAACATTTATCAAAAGCTAATATTTTAGTTATCGTTCATTTTATGTTTAGAATATCTCTTTGATAACTAAGTTGGCCGGAGTGTCCAGGGTGAAAGTCTCGAAATTTTGATTATGTTTGCATAACGTAGATGAATTGAAGTGTTGAAGTATTATTAATATGAGTTGTAGCCTCATTTAGAATTGATGTATGGAAATGTTAATGATATGAGTTGTAGGCTCATTTTAATTGATCATGATCGAAGTATTGTTAACATGAGTTGTAGCCTCATTATAAACTGTCTGGATGAATAGAGAACCATAGCTATGAATTGGTTTGGATAATGAAACGAAAAAATGATTGGTATACTTATAAATATCTGTGAATATGGATTGGTTATGAAAGAGATGTACGTCTGTTTATATGAGTTACACATTTATCAAAAGCTAATGTTTTAGTTATCGTTCATATTATGTTTAGAATATCTCTACTGAGCGTTGGCTCACCCTATTTGAGACATCACTTTCAGGTACAGGTGATATGCCGCCTCCAAGGCCTTAGCTTGGAAGGTTTTAGGAGTTGAAGACTCTTTTGGTTGTTTTGTTATTTTTGGTGTTAAATGTAAATTCAAGCCCATGGCTTAGTGTGTTTAGATTTAAAACTCTCTATTTTTTTGTAACCAAGTGTTGGCTTGGAAAGTTATAAGCCCGTAGGGCATTTACTTTTGTTGTCAACATGTAATACTTTTGAACTAAATACTCTGATGAATGAAAATATGTTTTATTCTTTTATGTCTATGGATGTCTTGAATGATTGGTTTATATGTATTATTTTGAGGGCGTTACAGGCTGTTAATTGTCGAGGGATTGTCGAACTATGTCAATTTTATGTTATGTGGTTGGTGTTTGGTACTAATATTATAGATTGTTAGTGGGAGGCTTAATGGTATGACAATGCCGCTTTGGGATGATGTTTTGTAGGTAAATGGGAATGTTACAACCTACACACCTCCCCAAGAAAACGCAAATGATTTAACATCAATAATGTAACACCAAGTAGGTAACATCAAAAATCCCCATAATCACTCCGCAAGATCCCAAAAAAAATGAAAATGTTAAATCATATCTCATCCACATACACTTAATCCCAAAATGTAACGCCCTCAAAATAAAACATATAAATCAATCATTCTTGGCATCCATAGACATAAGCGAAATAAACATATATTCATTTATCAGAGTATTCATTACAAAAGTATTACATGTTGACAACAAAAATAAATGTTCTACGGGCTTACAACTTTTCAAGCCAACACTTGATTATAAAAAGGAGAGTTCTAACTCTAAACACATTAAGTCATTAGCTTGAATTTACATGTAACACTAAAAATAACAAAACAACCAAAAGAGTCTTCAACTCCCAAGAATCTTCCAAGTTAAGACCTTGGAGGCGGCACAACACATGTACCTGAAAATGATGTCCCATATAGGGTGAGCCAAAGCCCAGTAGAGATACGCTAAACCAAACGTGAAAAATAACTAAAACGTTAGCATTTGATAAATGGTTAACACTTGTAAACCAATTCACAACATTTCCCAGTTCAATGACATTTACATTCGTGTTTCATTCCACTTCCCTTTATTTATCCAATTCAATTCATAGACATGACTCGTTATTTAGTCAAACAATTTAAATGAGACTACAACTCATATTAAATTACTTCTCATACACACAATTCACATGAGACTACAACTCATATTAAAATACTTCCAATATCAACATCATTCAGATGCATATAAGGTTTCGAGACCTTCACCCTAGACACTCCGACCAACTTAATTATCAATGGAGTATACTCCCTATCTCCTCCCAAACAATGGAGTACATCCCCTATCTCCTCCCACACATTGGAGTACATCCCCTATCTCCTCCCAATCGATGGAGTACATCCCCTATTTCCTCCAACACAAATATACATATGCAATGTATTTAAACACTTCATCATATACAATGATCAACAATATACATATTCAATGTATTAACCCACCCGTCATATTCAATGACATAACTCAGTCAATTAGTTTTAGTTTTCCCTAATCAGCATGCAGTGTCTACAACAATCAAGACTATCCTTCACCGATAGCCCAAAACAATTATTTCTAAACAGATAATAAATTATCAAACAGATAAATTATCTACAACTTCAAAGGTGAGTGATTAATCAATCCAACTCCACCATTCAATCTCATAACTTCCCATTTCATGATTTTCAACTCAATTTCACATTTCCATATCTTCCAAATTAATTATACAAATTAATCAATCACATTAAATTAGGGCTACTTCCCCATTTTCTCAAATATTGCACCCAACGCCAAATGCCATCAATCATACACAATAACATCACTTTAGGGACCACTCATACACTTGGAACCCCAAAAATGGAAAACCCCTATTTTATAAATTTCAATTTCAAAGTCTAAACTTTCCAAAACTTCCAAATAACACCATTTATACAAAATACATAACATTTATGTTAAAACTCATGAAAATGAATAGGTTATCCATACCTCAAATTTCGGAGCTCAAAGGAGAAGATGAACCAAGTAAGTGGTGACTCCAAAGGTGGCGAAATCAACTTCTATTCGGATGGAATATAGAGGTCATGAGAAGCTCCAACACTTTAATGAAAGCACAAGGATTGGGTCACACTAAATCAAGATCAAAATGTAGAGAGAGAGTGAGAGTATTCTAGAGTGAGAAGCTCTCAACCTAGTGTTTTGGAACGCTTTAGAGAGAGAGAGAGAGTCGAAAAAGTGATTCAAAATGGCTTCTTCTCGGACTGAAATACACACAGTCCGCTCGAGCGTGGAACGCCCCGCTCGAGCATCAGACACAGACACCCGCTTGAGCGTGAAAACGGACGCTCGAGCGTCGAAAGTACACTTCCAGATTCTGCAAACCTTCGGAAAAAAAATACTGAAGGCTGAAGAATCCCGCTCGAGTGTCAGACTGCCCACTCGAGCGGAGGAGTAATTGCAAAAGGGCCCGCTCGAGCTTGAAAAGTCCCGCTCGATCGGGGAGGCCAAAATCCGGGTAGAAGCTATTTGTTTCTAACACAACCAACCTGTTTCAAAACTGCCCAACACATCCCAAAACTCAAATACAAAGAATTAAAGGACAGAAACGCGACACTGACAACAACAATCATTCACGGAACCGAGTCGGGAATACACTAAACAACGGAAGGAAGACCGGGATCGCTATACAAAAAAACATCAAAAACATAATCACAATAAGGGGCAAACAAGTAAACTCAAATATTACTAAATCTAACCAATAATACATATTACAAATAAAAATGACTATTTGGTTTATAAAAAAACATGTAGGACTAAATGGACTAACATTTTTCCAAATGGATTTATGAGTAATTTTTCCTATAAATTAATATGAAGACATCAAAATAAGATAAAAATATATATAAAATATAAAAGAAAATTAATTTGATCCATACTATATATATAATTAAGCACATTTTGTCATATTTATTTATTTATTTGTATATTGACATAAGTTTTTTTTTTCAAATATCATAATAATTAAATTAAAATATCAACTATATAAAGGAAATCTCACAACGACAAAACTAAATACATGATGAAAAATATATGGAAAATAAATATTTCTCAAATAGAGTACATCTAAAATTAGTTATTATAATTGAAATTCAATTTGTGTAGAATTTTATATGTAAATAAAAACAAACATATTGATATGACTTTTTAAAAAAAAATTAAGCATGCCACACACAAGCTATTATTACAATATGTTTAAATTTTGTATTTTGATAATTTTTTAAAAATTAAAATATTGTTCTATGAAATTGAATAGAATAATCATTAGATATATGATAGAATTATGTGGGTATGATATGTATCATTTTTTGATTTGTTATACACCTAATAATATAGACTCCAATTCTATTACTATATCATTTTAGATGAATTTATGAGTTTTTAACATTTCTTTCGAATTTATAAAAAAATAAATAAATAAAATAAAAAAATTATGGTGTGTAACTTTTCTCAATAAATAAATATAAAACAAATATTAAGATAATTCTCTCATCTAAAAAAACTACTAAGATAATTCACTAAACTAATAAAGATGTAGAAGAAAATACATATATATACAAATAACTAATTTTATTAATACATAAATCATACTTGCATAACAAATAACTAATTTTATTAATAAGTAAATCAACAATTTTTAATAATATGAAAAATATTTTTCAGTTAATAATTTTGTTAATAAATAAATTATTAAGTCAAATAACAGTTTTTAATGATATGAGAAATATTTTTTAATAAATAATTTTGATAATTTATTATTACATAAGAGAATAAAACAATTCCTAAGTGTTGTATTAAATTAAAATTTATAATAAACGATAGTTGTAATTTCTCGTATTATTGGACCGAATCATATTTTAAACAAATCTTATGATTGTATTTATAATTTGTTCAAAAATAAAAGATTTATATTTCATAATTGACTAAGAATATTTATGTAATTATGAAAAAACTTCTTTTATAATTGACCAAGAATATTTTTATAATTATAAAAAAAAAATTCCTCAATATATAAGTCACCATTAATAAATTATTTAAAATAAAATAATATAATAAAAAAATAATAAATTTAGGGGTTTTTTTTTTAAGGTCCTTGATATTATGATTTTATAGCATAAAGGACATCAAATATTTTTATGATGTCTAAGGTCCATCAACAATATTTTCATAATGTCTAAGGTCCCTCAACCTTGATCCAGAGAAATTTCAGTCCAGAGAAAATTGGTGCAGAGAAATTTCAGTCCAGAGAAAATTGGTCCAGAGAAATTTCAGTCCAAATTTCTCTGGAAAATCTAATTATTCTCAGAATTTTATGCAAAGGGAGCCACACATACACTATGCATGTTTTTGGTGAATATTTGTGCACTGATAATCAAGAAATGTCTTTTTACCATATAAATTCAAAATTCTTTCTACCATTGTGTTTCATATACAATTTGTGGCTTTTATATTTCCGCTTCAGTCTTCCATTAATGGGAGAGTTCTACAACTTCTTCAGCGTCGAATCATGACCATTGTCATCATCTCACGTCACAGAGAAAATTGATCCAGAGAAATTCTGGGAAGAATTTCTCTGGACCAACCCTGATAAAATTTAGTTCAAAAACCAGAGAATTTCTTTAGTTTCAACCTAGAGAAAATTCAATTCAAAAACCAGAGAATTTCTCTGGTTTCAACTTCAAATGAAAAAAAAATTCAATTCACAATTTGGAACCTGGAATGCTTAATTTGAAACCCAGAGAATTTCTCTGGACTAGCATTGCTATTGCTTGTGGTGAACCCAACACAACTGCAATTGTTCCAGCACTTTTCCATACAATCGCTAATGCTTAAGCCCGAATTATCGTCACGGTCACTGGATTCGGCCGAGTTGGAAGTGAAGGCTCGGAGCAATAATGAGATGAAAAGGACTTTTACTTGACTACTTTGCCTCTTGTAGAACACAGAGATGCTGAGGTTTTGAACTCCAGGTTTATCTTCTTGTTCGACATCTTCATCAACCTATATATTAGTAACTAAACAGTACAAATGCTGCACAAACTTTATTACCAAGAAACAACAACAATACCAAAAGAACACATGTACAAGAACACATCATTTGTGTAGTTGACAGATATAATACAAGCTGTAGAAGGGGAAATTGAATCAGTTAGACTCAACTAGTCAGAGAAAATTCGATCTAGAGACTCTAGACGAATTTTCTCTGGACTTCACAGAGAAATTCTAGTTTACAGAGATTTTCTCTGGTCCAATTTTCTCTGAACTTCACATTTCACAGAGAATTTCTCTGGTCGAATTTTCTCTGGACTTTACAGAGAAATTCTGGTTCACAACAAGTAGATGGCTGTCCATTAGAAGCAGAATCTTCCATCCATGTATGATGTGATAAAGGAACTTTTTCTCTGTCCATAAAACATGCAAAAGAGCATCCAGAGTCTTCCATCCATGCATAATCTTCCATCCATGTTTGTCCCCCAGGGCTTCAAAAGAGCATCCTGCAAAATAAGATCATTGCTCGCTTCACATTTCACAGAGAATTTCTCTGGTCGAATTTTCTCTGGACTTCACAGAGAAATTCTAGTTTACAGAGAATTTCTCTGGTCCAATTTTCTCTGAACTTCACATTTCACAAAGAATTTCTCTGGTCGAATTTTCTCTGGACTTCACAGAGAAATTCCTCTTCCATTTCTTATTCTTTTGCATCTTGCTTCCCAGATTGATCATCACACTTGTTCATTGTAAGGTGCAAATCTAAAGCATTAGGGACAGAAGAGTAAGGAAAGTGTATGAAATAGACTGTAAAAGCTTGACGGAATAGTAGGGAAAACAGGGGATGACGAATTAAAATGAAATTGAAGGGGTTCAAGAACTTGAAACCCTAGAATGAGAAAGTGTATGAAAGAGGAGGAGGAAGACGAACATCGTTGATTATCGTCCTACATGTCCACAATTCCACTTCTTGGAGACCAATTAAGCATTCGACGAACGATGAGAGTGATGATTCATCGCCGATTGCATAGCAGCTTCGCAATTGGAGTTTCTTGAGCTGTTTACAACTCCTCCAGAGCCAACTGAGGCCGTAATCGCAGTGTTGAATCCCGGACAAACCTAGGGTTTCTAATTGAAGTTTGGTTTCGGAGTTTCCGATCATTGAATCGGTCAAATTGAGTTTGTGTAAATCGAATTGTCCAGTGTTGAAGACGATCGAGAGGTCTTTCAGTGAGTGGAAAGAGATGAGCCAGTGAAACTTTCATCTGATATATGTTTAGGGACCTTAGACATCAAAAAATAATTTTGTGGATCTCTTCCATTACGAAAAGTAGAAGAGGGACCCTAGACCGATTTTCCCTAAATATAAGCTTATGTTTTGTTTTCATTGTAAGGTCCACTAAAAGTGTAAATTGTATAAAAAAATTATTTCAGTGAAGGTGTAATTTTCAGAAATTCTGTCGATCTTGGTCTCCGGCTCTGTCGATCTTGATCTTGGTCTGTCGATCTGTCGATCTGTCGTCTCTTCTCTGTCGATCTCCGTCTCTCTCTCTCTCTCTGTCGATCTCCGTCGATCGCGGTCTGTCTCTCTCTGTCGATCGCCCTCCCAAACGATCTCCATCGATCTCGGTCTGTCTTTCAAACACAACTTGATTTTTCCCTTTTAATTCTTTTCAGGGTGTATTTACTGGACACTGTGGGACAAACCTTGACCACGGTGTTGTTGCTGTTGGATATGGTACAGAAGATGGTGTAGATTACTGGGTTGTGAGGAACTCTTGGGGTTCAAACTGGGGAGAAAACGGGTACATAAGGTTGGAGCGCAACATCAATTCCATTGGTGGCAAGTGTGGGATTGCTCAAATGGCCTCATACCCCATCAAGACCGGTTCCAACCCTCCTAATCCCGGTCCATCTCCTCCTACCCCAGTAAAACCCCCCACAATCTGCGATGATTATTTTAATTGCCCTGCAGGAACCACATGCTGTTGTGTCTATCAATACGGTAGCTACTGCTTTGGTTGGGGATGCTGCCCCCTCGTGTCTGCTACCTGCTGTGATGATCACTCTAGCTGCTGCCCACACGAGTACCCTGTCTGTGACATTGATGGCGGGACTTGCCTAATGGTAATTTAGCTTTATTTATTTATTTATTTACCTTCATTGTTTTAGATATAACGAAAAACAATTTGGCTTGTGAGCTGTGCCAAGTATCTCAATCTGCCAAATTTATTTTTTTCTCAATCCCATTTAGTAGATTCTAAGATATCATTTTGGGGGCCATATTATGTGAAAGCTTGTTGATCTTCTTTGAGCATGCCTACTTTGTCCTAGAAGTCTGTTGCTTTTGAATTTTGAATATCTTGAATACATACGACTTGAAGGTCCTGACACTCTGTACCCAGCATGCCCCTGTATGTTAGATCTGTGCAGTGGAAAATGGTTTTTCTCTTCAGCATACCTTTTCTTTAGTCTTCACACCAACCACAAAGGAAGGGGATCAAAATTAGCTACTTTAAGAATCTAAGCAGGAGACCATTGTTATTTAGATGAAGTTTGTGTTGTCCAAAATGAGAACTTGATCATTTGATAATTTATGGTGGAAAATGTATTGATTAGAAAGAAACAACACTGGATTGGCTAGAGATCAAGCTAGGCATGCCTCTCGCTTCATGGTTCCACCCATACCATTACCAAATTGATTCAAAATCACAGAGAATTTATCTTGTTCTGCTTTGACTTAGATCTAAGAGAGACGATATCTGGAAAATGCAATTTTAAGACTGTACAGATCTTGTTGTCTTCAAAGTTTTTAGATTCTTCTCCTCAGGTGCATTAGAAAAGAAAAAAAGTATTGCTTCTGAAGCTTGTGAAAAGGGACGATTACAGACCTTCAACTACTATCCTTTCGAAATTATCTGCTGATCTCTGCAACACCCAACTTAATCCAAGAATAGAGGCATTTAATACAAGAGAAGTCACCAAACAGCTAATGAAATATTGTACATACAACGTGTCTATAATTATCCATGTACTAGTAATCGATAGATGGCCACTGGCAAGCAAATCCACCCGGAGGTGTCAGAATGCTCATTATCCTTGAATTTTGTGACTGTCTCATCCATTTGTAATTTTCTCTTCACTTTAATAGTTTTTTTTTTGGCAATGTCATATTCAATCTTTCATCAAATGTTTCATCTTTAAATTTGATAAAAAAAATTGGTGAAAACGGTACTTCGACTGTTTCATCACATTGACGTCAAATGAAATTTCATCAAATCAAGAGAGCTTTTATTTTTTTTTTATCAAATTTTGCAAGTATCCATTAGTGGATGACCAGCTAAACTATCGGCCAAACGACCTACGTGTCAACCGAGTTTTGGAATGAATTAGAAATTTTGTAAAAAAATTTAATGAAAATTTACTTTGGGCCATGATGACTGACAGAATTGATGAAAACTTACTCTTTATCGTTAGAGTGCATCATATCAGATCAAACTTTTTATCAAATTTGATGAAGCAATGAAGACGCTCTAACAAGTCACTATTAAATTTACGGGGTTTGAAGTCTAATGGATTGTTTGGAAAATGCTAGATTATTATACTTTATGTTTTCTTACGAAAAAACATTAAATATGAATTGTGTTTGAAATGATATGATAAAGATATGATGTAACTTAAATAAAATGATACGATAAATAGAATAATAACTTTTTGACTTTTTATTTTTTTTTTAAAAAATGATTCATTTTTAATTGTGTTCTGTTGGATGCACAAACAAATTTGGACCACACTTTTTTGTTGGAGAAAATGTTTGTCTCCCTCGAGATAATAATTCAATGTATGTCTACATCTAAGCGACAGTGAGACGCTGATTTTCTCTTAAAACTCGTTTCGGACGTTGATTATTTTAGTTAGTTTAGTTATTTTAATTTGATTTTATGAAAAAGTAATTTTTTTTTATAATTAATTTGATAATTGTGAAAGAAATTATAAAATGATTATGTTTTGGTATGTGATATTTTGTATTATTGACTATTTTAATTTATTTTATCTTTATTAATTTTATTTTTTTTTCAAAATTATCTTTCCAAACCGGGCCTAGAAAATGTCTCATATTTTAGCTGTTTTGGTGTCGTTATTTTTTAATAGGGGATTCATAATTTTCTAAATCACAAAGATCAATTTGTATTTTAAATAAATTTTAAAAAATATACTTATTTAAATTATCGCATTTAAGGGGGCGTTTAGGTGTAATTTACCATTTTTCATGTGTATATACGTACATATAGTTTTCATTGGATACCCTCTACAATTAATATTAATAGACGGGGCCCGCCTAGTTTCTACAAATTTTTCCATTTCAATTCAACTGTACAAAAGACATTGATTGATTGATAGTACTATCTCCTTTTGGAATAATGTCATGGAAAAATTATTGATTGGTCTAGAGATACTATGTGATTATGTAAGGTAAACCTTATAATTTATCAAACTTTCTCATATTCTTTCATATTTCTTAATCACCTAATATAAATTTGTGAATCCTATAAACTCAAAAAAAAAAAAAAAAATTATTAATTGTCAATTTTTAATGACATGCAAAAGATCGTTACCAAAAATTATTTTTAACGGTGATTTTATTATGACTTATTTTCAATAAGATTTGATAGAAATTAAGTCCAACTATTAAGACCTGTTCATAATTTATCCGTAAATTATCCCATCAGTGTGATTCCATATTTATTAAGGGGGTGTCAATGTAATTTACCCTTTTTCATATACAGCCTATTTTGAGAAGTAGATTAAAATTTGATTTTTTTAAATTTTTTTTTTTACAAAAAAAAAACATGAAAAAAAATAAACCGTTAATGTAATCTAAAAATGTTAAAAGAATTAAAAAAATTAACTCTTAATCAATTTTTCAAAATAGGTTACGTACATACAATTTTCATTGGATACCTCTCTGACAAATAATATAAGGAAAAAATTATGAATTCTAAATAATCTATCAAATAATTGGGTCTACGTGTTTCTTGAAGTCCTATTAAAAAAGCACATGATCACTATTTTTTCTAATCGAAACTTTGGCAACATCACGAGACGGTTATCATTTGGGAAGGAAATTCGTATGTGTTTAC